TAAATGTGTCATAAAATACAGTTTTGTTTCTGAAAATGTCTTACTGCGCTGTCCCTAACACCGACGCAAAAAATAGTTACAATTTAGTCGTCTTTCAGGAGGAACAACTTCAACACCGAAAAATTGTTGCAAATCCAAACAGTAAGTGAGCAGTGAGAGTAAATAAAGCCAACTACCCGTTCGTTCTTCTCGACAGATAATCTCTGGGTCCATTTTCTCCACTAAACCGCCTGAATTTTGCAGTAGTTTGTGAAGAATACACCTATTTGCAGTGATTTTTGCATAATAATACACACAGAAAAAGACAATACCAATTGGGTTTTTAGTAGAGACTGTGCAATAAGCATGTCAGTTGGATTAGCTTAGTTACCTTAATACAAGGTTGGCACTAATTTGTACACTACGACTATGTTTTTCATAGTCTGAAATACTTCTGAATGGCTAAATTTGCAAGGCAAAGTTGTAGGAGCCTTCTTGCAACCAGCTGATGAGCACTTCTTCAGCGACGTCAAGCTTGCAGAACCATTTAGATTTCACTGGTTGCACAGTTTAAATGAATTGACGATTTACACTGCATTGTGTACAACAAACTGTGGGATAGCAGAAAAAGTTAACCTCTTAATGACCTTACATTGGCTAAAACATACCAGAATCCTCAATTTAAAAAAAATTGCTTGTAGTAATTACACGGCTTTATTAAATGCTGCCAATCGCTGCATTCTGTTATTTCTGTAAACAGAAGTATAACACATCATTGGTAGGGACAGCGGCGTCCCTAGCAACAGTGCCCCTCTTACTGATCAGAGGTCGCAAGATTTTTGCCTTACGGTTTATTTCTATTGTAATTATCCAGCTCCAGAGTAATAGTGATGGTTAAATAAATAATTTTAACTTGTTACAGGAAGGAACAAAGTCCGTCTTCTACCACCAGTGTCCTAGATCGCGTCTCTAGTGCCACATTCGCTTGTTTGCGACACAGAAGACTAGATAAGTATACATATTGTAGCATTATATATGATAAGTAAGGTTTTCCATGGATACATAGATTGATTTCTTGTCGGCTTCATAATCAAAACGCACATGACCGAGAACGATTAGCGATGGACAGATTTAAACACTAAATGATGCAAAATAATGAAATCAGTGAAAGTCTGATCTTGAAAAACATTGTCTTAGAATAAGATGGTTTTTTTTAAATACTGATATGAATATGAACATTAAATTCACACACAAACTTTTTAACAGCTATGTTACTCCATACAAGGGCACCTTGAGCCTAATAACAAGCACAAGTCTAGTTTCAACATTTCAGCACCAAAGTGACGCTGGAAAAACCTCAACTTTTTACCGGTACATTCCTGCTTTCACTATGCCAACAAGTCGAGTGCAGAAAACAACAACAAAAGAAAAAAAACCTGATAATCTTCTGGTGTTAGATTACAGGGTAAACACTGAGGTGGAGTTTCATTCAAAAGAAAGCCCTAATGTCTTACACCAATGAGGATCTATGCCAACACTAAAGTTTATCTTTTGGCCCACTGTTTTGTGTCTTTTCTTACATAAAAATAGTTCAAGTCAAGAATATGTTGCAAATGGACCAGAAATTAACTGAATTTATTTTATTGAGCCTATTTAAGTCCAGACTGAGAGCACTACAGAGGACTTCTTTAAATTGTGACTATTTTTAATAGTTATTTGCATGCTGTTTTAATTGTGTAACTATTTGCAATTGATTTATAACCTTTGCTGCCTCTTGGCCAGCACTCTCTCAAGAAAAGTTAAGGACTTTTTAATCTCAGTGGGACTTTCCTAGTTACAAAAAAAGGTCAAATAAAACAAATAAATAAATTTGGTTTAATTTTTTTTTTTTTTAAATTCATTCAGTACTCAAAAGCACTGCTTTACATTTGCGTATCTAATCTACGTGACTGGTCTCTCCTTCATTTGCATGGGTGTCACCTGTTTTATGTCTTTCCACTCTGAACAGCAGATGTCTGTGGGTTAGCTCGAACCATGTTTTCACAACACGATCTTGGTGATGAGATCACAAAAAGACATACACACAGGGAGGAAAGTTCATCTGGGGGATCTTTGAAGCCATCTGGAATAGGCCCAGTCAGCTCCAGTTAAATATAGCCGATACTGTCATCACTGAAACTGATAAACCCAGGTCCACGGTACCCAGGTAAAAGCTAAGGCAGTTTCCTTTTACAACAACAAAGCCAGAGATTTCCATGAAATAGAGCAGCTACTGTAGCTTAGCAGCCCATGTTTTCTTTTCCCAGTCTCCAGGGACATGAGGGCACAAGGTAAGCTGTATTTCAAGACACCCCTTTGGAGCTCATTAGGAGGAATCACCACAAATATTTTTCACACAAGTTTGTGAGCACATTTCACCATTTGCTCACTCACTAGAATTAAGCAACTAATAAAACATTTAAGACAAACGAAACCAAGATACAAGATATTGTTCTGTTTAGCTGCTTAGCAACACTAATTTGACTGAAAATTGCTATAATGCGTTTATTTAATGTCTCCATACTAGATTTGTTTGTATTTCTAGCTAATAACCATATTTATGACTCGTATCAAATATTAAGCTAGCCTGTCAATATTAGACATGCGTAACACGGCACATCCAGGCCATAACCCTGCCCAGAGGTTCAAATTGAAAAGGCTCCTAAACACATAAATACTGAAGTTAACGGAAACGATGAACCGCTTACCTTGAAACAAAACGGCTCCGATATTTCTATGAACGCAGTGATGTTAGCTTAGCAGCAAACTCACTCTGCGGTGTTGTTTTCTTTACTATTTTACCGCAATGAGCGACCCCCTTCTGAAGCCCAGTGAGTACAGCAGTAGCTGGACGTGACGTAATTTAGAAGGGCGTGTCTAATAATAATAGGGAAAAAAAAGCTCTGAAAGAAAAAGCAGATGATTGGCGGTTGACACGGCCATTGGTCACAGCGTCCAATCAAAAACGAGAAAGAAGAAACTGTGACTCCTGGTCATTTGACTTGATGAAAGATTAAACAGACCCACTTCCACATCATCCAGTGGATGACGAAGCAACACGAGGGGAGGAAAGAAGCTGAGATGAGTGACTAATTTGTGTTAATCAGTAGAGGCTTAGCTTCTTGCTTTTACATTTAAATATGAGGGTAATAGAAATTTGGCATCAATTCCTTCATTAGTATTTTTGAAATTCCATACATAAATGTAAGAAAAAATCCCCTGGCAGATTATTTCACTTATAAGCCATCTTTTCTATATCTTAAGTGGATAAATTAACATTGAGGAATTGACTTTTTTAAAAAAAACAAACAAAAAAAACAAGCTCATATATATTGGTGAAAAGTTACTTGTAAGTCCACTTGAAATAAAACAAAACTAAGTACGACGGAGAAATATTGCCATACAAAAATATATATTGAGAATTGATAGCATTACGAGAATAAAACGCAACTTATGTTGGACATTGGTAAATTTAAAACAACAATTAAGCATTATCTTTGGACGTATTTTTATTAAAACCTGCCTGAAATTTGTTCTGGCCTGGCAAGTCCTCATTGTTTAAAACCAAAAATCTTCAAATTGTAGTTGAGAGGAACAGATGTTTGTGATGTTGTCCAGAAGAGGGCGCAGGGCTCTATGTCATTTGTGTAATTGTGTTAATTAGGACTGTTGTAAATGATTATTTTAGTCGAATAATTAATGGCTTGTTCTGACAATCGGTTAATCAAATAAAAAATATTAAACAAAAATATTGGTAAAAAACTGATGTAACTGAAGTATTCATATCAGATATCAATATTGGCCTAATTTTTCATAGCTCAATTTTTTAAGTCAACCTGGACAAAAAATACACAAACATTTGAAATGATATTCAACAAAATAATAAAGCATAAATAATGAAGCAACAGGTCACAAAGACATTAAAATACATGCATACTCCTATAGGTTATGTATCCACCAGTCAATTTAACAGATGAACTCTCATTTTGCATTGTCTGTAACATTACATAGTCTAGGGGCTGTCAACATTTTTCAGCCTGGGAACCCTAAACCAATTTTTGCTCACTGGGTGAATGTGTGACTGAAATGTATGATTTTATGCCTTCTTTTACCAACATGAATATTTGTTGCATTCATGTTAACCTGTATTTAAAGACGTAACTTAGAACTTTGTACAGAAAATTTGTAATTAATCTGAATTCTCACTATCACCTTGCAGTGTCTCTGTGACTCCATTAGAGGTCGCATTCGCTCCATTCAGGACCTGATTTAGACCATTTACGCATAGAGGAACAGTTCTTAATTTAATTGTGCAAGGGGAACCGAACTGTTTGTGTGTTTTTTCTCAGACCTATAACCAGTACACTATTTAATATTCCAGTGTGTTTCAAAACTTCTCAAATGTTCATTGTTTATTTTTAACCGGCCCAAACTGGCACCTTCCTCACTTTGTGTTTTTCAGCTGCTGCTCAGCAATTTGATCCAAATCTGACTGACAGGTTCCACAGCAAAACTGTCAAGAAGTGGCTTCACTATCCACCACAGCGGGAGTAAGGCATCGCAATGAACCAAAGTGATGCCAACCAGAGTCAAACTGGTTACACAACTTGCACTGTTTCTCTGGTTCATACAGTACAAAGCTTAAGCTCATGGATGCTGTTCTTCCATGAACAATAAGAAGAACAGCATCCATGACTCCTTTTTGGCTTTCATGTTTGACACAGCCAAAAAGGAGTCAAACATGTTTCCAGGTCTATGCCTGTTTTCTTAAATAAAATGTAATATTAATGCCATGTTGTCATTTTTTAAGCTTGTGTACACACATCTTCAATCTTCATGTAAGATAATTCTGAATGACAAAATACCCATCATCTGCCAACAACACTGTGTGTTTAACACCAGTGAAGAAACATTTATTGGTATGTTATAATATAGACCTACCAGACCAAAACATTTATATGAATCAATATTGATTGCTTAACTTTCATACAATATAAAATTAATATAAATGTCCATGCAAATCCACATTCGGATGGTGGTTGAATCAACATTGATATGGTGTCAGTTACAGTGGAAACCATAACGTTGATTCAACCTGAAAGTCACTGACCACTTTTAATATCGTTTCAATGTCAGGCTTCATTGTGGGTTCAATGTTTCATACCGTTGTTTCAATGTTGATTCAGTCATATTTTGCCATCTGTAATTCGAATCATTTTCATAAATCACAAAATAACATTACATCTGTTAAAAGTTGTCATCCAACAGATTACCTTTGTTTAAAAATGCATTTAATTTATTTGAACAAAAAAGACAAAAACAAAAATGTGTGAAAATAAAATGGATACATTTCAAGCTTCTAAATCATGGCTTAATACCAGCCAAGGTCTGGGTGAAATTTGGGAACAGAGCCCAATGAGGGGAAACGATTGTTTGGAAGCTGGGTTTCGGCCTCTGTGTGGGTTTTTCCTGTTCCTCTAGTCATCCACCTGAGGGAGCCTGGGAGTTGCTGAGCCACTGGAGGGTAGATTTGCTGTGTGTTCAAATGCACCTGCAATCAATCAGCCTCATCTGCCTGAGTATAAGAGGATCTGCTGCAAGTTCTCCAATGCCTTCAATGGTTTTCTCACCAGCTTTCTAGTGACAACTCCTTGTGCTGCCCTAGAGCCTCCCCATGCCTTCAAGATTCTCTGTGATAATTTATGCTTTAATTCCTAAGGCTGGCAATGCTCTGCTTTTCTTGCTCCCCATTGATTCTGTGTAACCTGTCCGTCCTCCAACGATTCCACCGTCCAGCAGCTCTTATCTGATCACTCCAAGAAACCTTTTTCGCTCCCAGCTCCAGAATTTCCCTACACAAAGACCCAAGTCCAAGATTCCACTCACCTCCCCCTGATAGACTATCTTCATCGTCCTCAGTTAGATCAACGTTCATAATTGGACTTAACTTCCCTGCTCAGGTTATTCACCTTTTTCCCGCTCTGTTTCCAGTGTTCCTGTTTGCTCCTGTCTCCAGGTCCCCAGACAATGACGCACATTTTATTATTGTTCAATAAATTTTATTTTATTTTTTTTATTTTTTCTGAGAGTGTTCTGCATGTGGACCAAAAGCATACCCAAAAACATGACAGATGAGATGTCTGGTTTACATTAAACTAGAGTTCATCCAACTAAGTCTGCAGCATATTCAAGATACAGCAACAAAAGAGTATATTCAGAATGCGCAGACAGCAGCGTTCAGTGTCGTCCTGTTTATTGTCTGGCGGTATAATCACTGAAAAGGAAACATTTAAAAAGTTAGAGAAGATAAGACAAAGGGCAAAGGAAATCAACAATGCAAATAGTGATTTTTTTTTTTTTTATTTTTTTTTTGCTCCTCAAAAATGATGGAAAACCAGAAGTATTTCTGAGAATTAATTTGTCAGGACACCAGCAGAGCGTTCAACGATAACCAAGGCTGATATGACTTCCTCTACATAGCACTCTGCTTCCCATGTTATTAATGGTATTTTATTTTATTTTTTTGTATATATGATACTGGATGGTACCATCCAGTATCATATATGCTTATCTTTAGTGGGGTCACCAGGGCTGCTGGTGCCTATCTCCAACAGTCAACAGGGGAGATGGACAGGTCACCAGTCCAACGCAGAGACAAATAGGACAAACAATAACGCCACTTAACTTGACAGTCATGTTTTTGAACTATGGGCGGAAGCCGGAGTACCTAGAGAGAACATGCAGAAAGACCCCAGGCCATGATCTGAACCCAGGACCTTCTGGCTGCAAGACAACAGGGCTACTAACTGCACTACTGTGCTATACCATTGATAACATGATATACCATGACTGACTATGACTATACATTCCATATTCAAGTAGTGTCCAAAGTAAGTTCCAGTGTTGTGGTACTCGAAGTTGGTCTTGGT